CTATCTCGCTCCCCTCGCCTGTTGTTTGGCGCTTTCTTGTGAGTCAGCAGTTAAACTTCTCCCTGCAAACATTTGCAGACAGGTTAACTAAAAACAAGGAGTGCTGTGAAAATGAGGGACTGGCTAGCTTTTCCAAGTGAAAAATACTGTCTCGAGAACAAGTGGTAACGTGTAATCACAGAATATTGTTGTGCAGAAGGAGACTATTCAGCCAATTTTGGGTCCAGTGTCCAGTGACCCTTCTTCGGCTGAGTGGCTTAAGGATCACTCTACCCTATATCTGCTCTAATTTTAATCATCTCTTGTCCCCCATCCTCAGTCTCCTCTGCTCCAAAGTAAACAACCCCAGTCTGTCCAATCTGTCTTCCGAGGGTGGTAACTCACTTGCTGTGGGTCTGGACTCATTTGTAGGCCAGACCAGGTAAAAATGGCAGATTCCCTTCCTCAAAAAGGGCATTGGTTGGTCGCACTCCCTTCCCCATAGCCTTGTAAATGGGGAGAAAGTGGGGACTGGATACAGAGCTGGATGATGGACCATGATCCTTTTGAGTGGCAGAGCAGGCTGGAATGAGCAGCCGCTGCTCCTGTTTTCCAATGTTTCCGTTGCATTTCACTATTTTGAGTTATCGCTAAATCTACTCCCACCACCTTTCCCACTGATGCACCTTTGTAACTTGCTGCTTTGAAACAATTCCTGATCACCTCCCCTCTGGCTCCTATTGATGTAGAGCTGTGTTACTCAGTTACTGGCCCTCCTGCCTGGAAGAGCGACATATAATCCCTACAGTGTGGCAATGGGCCATTCGGCCCGTCAAGTCCTCACTGACCTTCCGGAGAGCATCCCACCCAGTCCCAACCCTACCCTATCTCTGTAACCCTGCATTTTCCATGGCTAAATCCACCTAACCTGTACATCCCTGGACACTATGGGGCAACTCAGCATGGCAAATGAATCTAACCTACACATCTCTGTCGTACACATTCAAAAAAAAATCTGCAATTAAGAGTCGAATGATGACCATGAATTGATTGTTGGAAAAACCCATCTTGTTCGCTAATGTCTTTTAAGGAAGAAATCTGCCACCTTTATCTGGTCTGGCCTACATGTGACTCCAGTCCCACAGCAATGTGGTTGACTCTTTAACTGCCCTCTGGGATGGGTAATAATTGTTACTGCAAGCTCCCATAAACTGCAATGTGTTAATGACCAGATCATTTGTTAGCTGTTGATTGAGGGATAATTATATTTTTGCCAGACTGATAGCCATATGTTGAAGTAGGCAGCAAAAGACTTTCAGAAATTTATAAGGATTTTATTGTAAATTGGTAGCTTAGCACAAATAACAGTTTCCACCTTTCCCTGTGCAGGAACCCATAATCCAGCACCTCCTCCCTGCTCCCCCCACCCCACTCCCCAACTCAGCCTGTTCGGGCGTGTTATTATACACCTCCAGGAGAAGTGAGATTTGAACCCAGGTCTACTAGTCCAGAGGACGGGACAATACATTGTCCCACAAGAGCCTCTGTAGAACCCAGTCTTATTTTTATTTTAAGAGCCAACCATGGAATCTAATAACCCATTTTCTAAAAAAAAGCTGTCACTAAGTTCCCAAAATACCCAATTAAATGACTCGCACTGCCCAGTCGTGTGAAAACCCCAGCTCTCAAACACAAAGTGAAAAGAACATCTGCTTGCAGTCAACTCTGGAGCTGTTCTGTTTGACCTTAAAGGGACCTGCATTTCTACTGCTGACAATCACTGGCCCCAGGACACTGGGGAGAGCTCTCTGGATACTTATTAAAATATGCTATAGGATCTTTGAAGTTCACCTATAAGAGCAGGCCAGGGCTAAACTCATCTGAAAGACAGCACCTCTGTTAGTGTAGCTCTCCTCCAGTACTGCACTGAAATGTCAGCCTAAATCAGAACATCCCAAACTGTGGGCTGCCATTCCCAATGGGTCCACCAGGGGTCCACTGCCACCCCCAGGGGGTTCACAGGAGATAACTGCCAACCCCCTGTGGGTGTCACCAAGGGGTCACTACCAGCCCCATTCTGGGTCACGATGGGGTCACTGCCAACCCCATTGCGGGTCATGAGGTGAGATTCTGACATTATCCTCTAAGGCAACAGTGAGACCATGGACTAAATGGCGAGGTACCTTTACATCCTCAGGTTTGGTTTACTGGCAGCTATTACCAGACTGATGTTACAGCTCCAAAAATGGTAGTGGAAAGGAGGCACTTGTTTTCGAAAATCACTGCAGATTAAACATGTCGCTCCCTTTCCCCTGCCCCCTCACCCGCCCAGTCTACCCACAACTGAAACCCCGCACCTCTGCTCACTGAGGTTTATACTCATTCACCAGTACACACACACACTCACACAC